TGTCAAGTCAATTTCAAATGTCCATCTGTTGTAAACCACTCTCCCTGGAGAAAGGGCTGGCGGGGAGGCTGAGGCAGGAATGCACAGGATGGGCCTGGAGCGCCGTGTAGTGCCAGACAGCAAGGACGTGCTGACGCACAGAGACACACGCAGTGACGGGGGTGTGCCAACGGGACACAGGCGCCCGCTGGAAGAGCCCTCAATGGCCAGAGATGGAGAATTTGGAGCAACAAAATAAATTTTAGAAGTATTAGATTATACCCTGGAGTATAAAATAAGCATCCATAAACTCCCAGTAGTATAAATAAATTATTGAATAAATAAATGAGGGAGAATAAACAAATCTCTCATGCAGAAATCCAAATAATTTATGTAGATACTTTGTCCTTAAGGAGGTGAAGCGTAATTCCCCCTTCTTCAGTGTGGCCTGCACACAGTGACTTCCTTCCAACGATTACAGTATGGAGAGAGGGAGAAAGAGAGTAATTTTATAGCGGAGAAGCCTGACAAACACAACTTCAGCCCAACAATCCAGGTCACATCAGCAGTGACAAGTTGTGTTCATATGTGATGAAAAGGGCACTTTATCTCTGTGGTTTTCCTCCCCCAAAACCTACAACCACAGTCCGATCATGCGTAAAACATCATAAAAATCTATATAGGGGAACGCCCTACAAAATATTTGGCCAGCCTCCTCGAGGTCACCAAAAACAAGGAGAGTCAGAAATCATTATAGCCAAGAGCTGCCCAAGGAGACGTGATGACCAAATGCAATGCAGCCTCCTAAATGGAATCCTGGAACAAAAAAGAACATTTAGTAAAAAATAAGGAAATATGAGTTAAGTATGGACTTTAGTTAATAATAAGGTACAATATTTGTTCATTAACTGGGACAAATGTGCTGTGCTAATGTAAGACATTAATAAGGAAAACTGGATGTGGGGTCTATGGGAACTCTGTAATCTCTTCACAACTTTTCTATCAAAATATACTTTTCAATAAAAGGTTTATTAAAAATTAATGCACTTATAGCCTTGAGTGAAGCATCATAAAAGCTATCCATGTAACAAGAACATTTGTACCCCCTTAATATTTTGAAATTAAAAAAAAAAAGAGAAAATTAATGCGCATGCACACACACAATCACTCTTAGTTTAAAGGCTGTGCAAAAACAAGCTTTGGGTCATATCTTGGCCTGTGGGCCATCGTTTACTAATCCCTGCTCTAAATTAGCTACTTTCATTCTCATTTTGTAGCTGAAAAAAACTGAGGTCAAGGACTAGTTCTAATATATCAGGGTTAATCAAACCCTGTTATGAATCATGCCAAAGTCTATGCTCTTTCTGTGGTAGGATAGTACAATTCTTTTTCCTGCTCAGAAACATCTGATGATTCTCCACTGATATTTTTAGGAAGTCCCTGTAGATTTCCTCGAAGGTCCACTGACCAAGACTATCCACATTCTCACCCCTAAAAGCAACGCGGACTGGGAAAGTGGGACAGCTGCATTTTCAGTTCTGTGCGCAGCAGAAGAAGGGCCGAGAAGTGCTTGTGGTGGACACACCCGTTGGTGTCTGCCAGGCTTGCTGTGAGTAGTCACCTAAAATTTTGTAGTTATTAATTATATAGCTTTCTGTCCTAGCGTTTTCGTGTTTGTTCCCATAAGTAAACTGCAAAACCCTTTAACAGTAAAATTGTGACTTAAACTTATTCATACCTGAAAAGTTTTTGTTTTTTAACTTGACCTACAACATTGTTTGGGGAGAGATCAGATCAGACTCCCAGACACCTTTTAGTTCTCAGGGAAAATCACAGCCAAGCTAAATTTTTCAAAAAAAAAAAAAAAAAATTACAGCCCTGTGAAACGAAGCAGAAGCCACTAGGGCAGAATCACTGAGTGATAGGGTTAGGGGTGGTGGTCCAAGGCTGGGGGGTCCAAGCCCCATTGTGCTATGTGGACACTTTGGTATGTATGTCAAAGAAACCAACTCTCAGCTGTCAAAACTACTCGGAAATACCTTATCTGTGTGTGCCATTTCCTTGCAAGAAGGAAGAGCTCTGAAAAAACTCCCGCATGAGCTAGTGGCAGGGCTGCACCATTTCTAGGCTGGCAGGGGTCCCTGCGATCGCATGCAGTTGCTTTGTCTGGTAAAGATCCACATATTAGAGTAGGACGAATTCCAACCTGACCTAAGTTATGAGACCATCGTGAGTCCATAAGTTCAAGAAGTCCTGCAGGGCAGTTCATTCTTGCTTATCAAGCACTTTTGTCACAGAGCGTGCAAAGTAACAGCTTGACCAAGATGCAGAGTATCTGACACACTCAGAGAACGTGCTCCAAGCTCTAGGAGTCTACTGACACAGTCACGATGTGCTAGCTGCAGATCAGTCACTAACCACCCAAGCGAGGGTGTTGGCCTACCTTGTGATAACGTCTGTATCTAAAACAAGAACAACAACAATAACTAACACGTGCTGAACGCTTAACGTGTGCTGGCGACGGGGGCCAAGTGATTCACATGCTTTCTGGCGTTCAGGCCTCATCGTGATCTTTCGAGGGAGGTCCTGTCATGATCCCCATTTCCTAAATTTTGAAGCTTACCCCAGAGACTTACTCGCGCAAAGTTACTATCGAGTAAATGATTAAAGCAAGATTTTAATCCACTCTGCTCCAAATGAGCTCCCCTGAAGTAGAGTTTACATTCCCTTCACTGTGCTCTTTGAAGCCTAATTCTATACTTACACGTTTAGTAGATGAAGGTCTGGTTCAGCAGAAGCTACAAACTCAGGAGCCAGGATCCTTTGGTGGCTCTTGTTGCTCCATCTGCCCGACACAGAGCAAGGGCTCGGTGAGACGAATCGTTATTAGTGAAGGTCCAAATGAACAAGCGAATGCACTCGGTCGCCACTCCCAGCCTGTCAGAAGGCTCTGTCCAAAATCTGAATTAGTAGGCTCCATTCATTTGCTTTAAAAAGACAACTTGTAATTCATAAAAGACTGTTTAGTTTTTCAAATAAATTTTTTAAGGGGCATCACATATAATGAATTTAGGAATTTGGGAGATTGAAAATGATTTCATAGGGTACGATCAAAGTAGCTTCCAAATGAAGACCAACACACGAAAAGACACAGCAGCCTGGACACTGTCCTGGGGCGTGTGAGGGAGTCAACGGACATGGAGTTCAGCTCACACCAACCTTTCTAGCCTCTCCTGTCGCTGATCACAGTGTCTGCGCATCGCACAACCAACAAGGTCCTTTATGGGAAGATGGGAGTAAATGAGGTCTGTGTGACTCTCTGCTGTGTGTTCCCATGGATGCTTAACCAACCAAGTTAATATTTTGTTCTTACTTCACTTCCAAACACTTAACTAAAAATATTAACACATTGCCCTGTATCATTTAATAATCAGAGTGTGGGTGCACTGCTGTGTCATTTGTAGAATTAGGAACAGATGTTTTGAGGGTAGAGAAGGAAGGAAAAGCATCTTAAATAATTCTTTTTTCCTTAAAACCCTCCCTCACACCTGGTTTCAGGACTTCTCTCAGCCTTAAATGTTCCCTTGTGAAGCAAAATATGCATTTTAAAAAATGACTCTGGGACTTCAGTGCAGCATTTGGACACAAAATGGAATTAAATGCAGGGTGGCTCTAAACTGCCTTCGCGTTTCTAAGGACCAAGCAGCTATTTGCTAAGGCAATTTCATTTGAGCTCTGGAGGATGGCAGCATCTCAGGTACTTCTGGAGGTGCCTGTGTGTACTGCCTACTAGAAGCATTTTCGGATTGCAACAGGCCGCACATCCACACGTGCTATGTTTCGCTGGCAAATCCAGAGGCAAAAGTTCAAATGAGAATTCTTGTTACTTTTTCCCCACCCTCCACCCTTCACGTTGACAAGAGCTAGGGTGAGCTCACTGGTGATTAGGAGCTCAGGAAGGCTCCCAGAGGCAAAGGGACCGGCTCTGGCAGCCACAGGGGTGTTCTCCTCGGAATATTTAAAACATCATCAACAGTGGGATTGTTGGTTTGACAACCAATATCAAATTCAAAACCTTCTATATAATTTTAAAAGAATGAGAGAGACAAGTGCATCCTTGACTTGATAACATTTATTCAATATTCTTTGAAATTAGCAAGAATCGGAAGAAGCACAGATCAATCAAATACAGCCACAAAAATGTCCTGGATATAAATAAAGATGCACTATGAGAAATACTCACTACTGAAGGAACCAGTACTCTCTTACGTTTACTACCTCCTAGCAACAAACAATTCAAATGTAAATTTACTCACGATACAAAAACCTTGACTTTTTAAAGAAAAATATAGATTCAGATCGATCATAATTTGCCTCCCTAGGCCCATTCTTTACGCATGTTTTCAAGGCCTAGTTCGACGACTGTTACAAAAGTGACAAAAACAAAATCAAACGAGTGTTTCTGCAAAGTTCAACAGAACAGTGCAGAAAGAAGTTACTTACCCATGCACAGAATAAGGCAAAGGCTAATTTCATTCGTGTTAGGAATAATAAATTGAACTAGTTTCTTTTTCACAAAACAAACATTTCAGACTTCTTTTTAAGTAACGGGTATACTGTATTATGCATCATACTCTACTTTACATGTTTTTCCTAACTCTACTCAGAAAGCCAGCACGTACATGTCAAATAGAAACTTCTCCTTGATTAGACTTATTCTGGTAACAACCGCAGAAATGAATCTGGGTTTTGTGATAGTGTCTACCATGGAAAGAGCACACACTAGTGGAAGCATACAGTGTAGAGAGCTGAAAGTACATTAAAACGTAGTCTATGGATTTCACAAATTCTGTTTTTAAAATATTTTTTCCAAACTAAAAGCTGCAGAAAATTAGTTCTTAAATATTCTACCGAAAACTCTTGAGCAGCTAACATTTTAAATTTCTTAAGCTTTTTATTTTCTTAAAAATATTTCAATGAGTGTAGTATCTCATCTTTTTGAAAAATAATCCCAAAAAAGATTACAAATCTTTTGTTTTAATCAGCGTGACCAAGGGTTTGTCGTCAGGACTGTAATCCTCATAGGCGATGGGGCTCACGTCGTACATCGCGGGCCGGGATTTCTTTCCAAACCTGAAATCACAGACGGAGAGGACTTTGGTTAGATAAATATTGGATCTCAAGTCCTATAAAGGCAAGTGGTAAGAATATTTTATATTCATGAATCAAATGGAACTCTGCAAATACTGTAAAAAATATATTCTCTACGAAGTACAGAAATGTAAGACATCCTGCTATTAACATTGAATGTGTATGAACATTAGTCTTCTGTGCAAGAGGCAAAAAAATGGATTTCAGAAAACATAGAGCCCAAATTAAGGTCAAAGCTTCTAGGTTAAATTTCGGCAAAGCAGTCAAGCATGACAGTTCTACAACAGGTTTTAAGAAAATGTGTATCGACTGTCTTTTCCTTCTGAGACCCATAAATATTTGAAGAGGCAAGTTTATTTTACATCTACTCTAGTGCAGTCTTCCCGGGCTGACAGCCTCTCCTGTGGGATTTTCAGGGGACAAGCGGTGAAGGCTCAGAGTTCACCTGAGATCCCAACACAAGAAGGGCAGAGGGAGGAAACAACTTCGGATACAAAGGTATTTGTCCACAAACTATGGCAGCACCACCAGGGAATCCCACCCACTTGTTACCTCCTAACCCCAGGCACACACAGCCGGTGTTTTTCTCTGAGCGCAAAGCCATGGTCCCAACAGATTTGTGTATCTCAAAATTGCCTGGCCAGCAGGACTGACTCCCAGAAACGGGAATCAAAATCCAGTTTCAGGACTTTCTGCCAAACCAGTCTTAAGATGGCAATTATTAAAATAAAGCCAATTCAGCTTCTGGGTGGTCTCTTCCCATTCATGACCTCACCTTCCCCAAAATCCCTGGAGTGCAACATGATTCAAACAACCTTCCACCCTCACCCACCGTCCTCCTCTGCAGAGACAACATTTGTTAACTGTTTCAAGTCCAACAGAGCTCATTAAAAAGGCATTTTAAAAGAACCCTAAATTTTAAAAGGGTTCCCAGGATGGGGCCCCTAGGAATGAAAGGAACTTATTTATTATGGTTCCTGTCCCATTTCTCCTCTTTTCCTATTTTTTCTCCTTTGATATCTTTTGAAAAGTCTGTCTTCTCATGTACAGAGATGGGAAGTATAATTGCATGGGAAATGAGAAAACAGTGCATTCTTCATATGATCTTTTATTTTTAAACAGTCATCCATCTTGTGTTCCTATTCGCTCAAGTTTTACGGGCTTTTAAGAGCACAGGGGCAAAAGCCATGTCAGACAGAATGTGGGATTAAAGAGTTAAAGTGTTCTGCCCCCAAGAAACCCATAGCTATCGCTGCCATGTTACCAAAGCCTTCAATAAAAGGGTTTCTATCATGTGAAGCCTCACTAAAGGCCCAGCCTTGTGCTTGCACAGATGGGGGTTGGGCTCCTCGGCCCCCTGCAGCCGGTTTATCTCCATTGCCTGAGGCCTGCATAATCTGAGAACAGGAAAAGTATCAACAGGATAATAGCCCATTGGGCCTTACACTTTCTCCCAAGTCTGAAAATTTCCAAGGCTACTTTAAGATGCAAATATCTTGATAATTTATTTCTCATAAAATAGCTAGAGACATTGGCAATAACATATCACTAATAATATTAACTTCACAAAAACTCCAACAACCCAGTGGAAGCTCTCCATATCCTAACATAGCAGGATAAGTGGGATGGTTTCCTGTGGAAACTTGGACCTGAGGGCCAAAGAATGATACTAATTAATTGATTAAGTAATCAATTGGTTGGCTGAGAGGAAAAACCCGAACAACTTAATAGATTGACTATACCTTTAAGACACCCGTTTTTAAATATGATTTCATAGTTTGAAGAAGAATCTGCTCCCTCAAAATTGAGAAAGTTGAATGCCTTCATTTTATACAACCCATTACCAAGCTGCAGTTCAAAGAGCGGTAAACTTAAACGTTGCCGTGGATCTCGTTTGCGGATCAGTGTGGCAGACCCGCAGAGTGTGACAAGGCCAGGGCCGACTCCACTCAGGAGCGAGCCGTGCGTTCACCTGGGCATGTTTGAAAGTAGCCTGAAGAACAAGGAGCGTCACTTTGTGTCCGCACTGGTTACGTCAGCTGTGTGGCCTGGCTCTAACACGATTAACTCCAAACCAGTCTGGGTCATAAAGTATAATGTTGGTTATAAAGGGAACCTGGTTAAAGTAACATTAACACCCCCGCTCTGGAAAAGGGAGCAGGCAAGCTTGGAGCTGGAATCCCTTTCTTTCGCCCTACTAGCTGCCAAGAACTTTGTCCAAATTCCTTAGGTGAGTTGGTCTCCACCCGAAATGCAGTGTCTACCATATGGAAGCTAAAACGGCTTGCTTTACAGAAACATTGTCATTTTTAAACACATAATAAAATGAAAGAAGACTTTCTAGAACCTCCTACACCTCTCCAGTGGCAGGCTCACGCTTGGCGACAAATGAATGTGCATTCATACTTACATTTAAAATACAACAGCTTTTTATATCTCCGGTGTTTCTGAGAATTGGGTGGATGTTAACAAATCAACAAGCTACCACCTGTAGAATTCCATTTGAATCTCTCAGGCACTAAACCAGTGTCAGAGGTTGCCTGTTTTATTGCAGGAGTTTTAATGGAACTGCTTTCTTTTTTTTAATAACACACTCCTTTCCTTATCAATAAAGTACATTTTAATGGTAAAAAATACAATAAAACTGGAAGTTAGAGAAAATGCTACTGTAGACTAGGGGTTAGTAAACTATGGCCTGCAGGCCAGTCCCAGGCTGTTGCCTGTTTTTTTAAAATAAAGTTTTATAGGAATGCAGCCAAGCCCACTCACACTGTGTTCTGCTGATTTTGTGCTATGAAAGCCGAGCTGAGTAGTCACAACAGAAATCGTGTGGCCTGCGAAGTCTAAAGTACTTTGCAGACGGTAAGGATGTCTGCAGACTGCAAGGATCACCCTAGTCCCATCTCCAAAGGACCAGCTGTCAACATTTGTGCATTTTTCTTCAGTCCGCCCATCCCTCAGTCCCACGTCCCTTCAATTCACTTTACAAATATGAATATGTATTAAGAGTCTCTGAAAGTGTCATATACAAAAATATTTATTACGTATTTTAACAAAACTGAGAAAATATTCCCCATACTGTTTTGTGACTGAATTTTTCAATCAGTGTTCTGTGTGATGTTTCACTCAGAAAGCATCCTTATCAAGTTAAAAAATAAATCATATGAGCTTAAAAAATATCCTTCTGTGCTGGGTGGGGTGGCTCTAGTTACATGTTCCCACCTGAGGCGGCTCACGTGTCCCGACACGAGCCAGACTGTGACACTCAGGAAGTGTCTACTGAGGATCCATGAGGGAGCTAGAGTTTTAAAAGATGGGGATGAGCTGACATTCACTCTCTCCTTGCAGCAAAGCAGCTCGAAAGCCCTGATTTGACGGCTCCATCCCCAGCACCCCCGCACCCCCAGCGGGGCATCAGACACTGTTCTGAGCGCTCAAGCAGCACCTCATTCCACTGTCTCGTTTTCCTAGACTGATCATCTCATCTCATTGCTATGACAACCTTGTGACATGAGCGCATATCATTTTTCACATCTTACAGAGGAGGAAATGGAGGCTTAGGGATCATTTTCCTAAGACCACACCCCTGGGGAAGGTGGAGCTGTCTGGCTTCCAAGCCTGGGTTCTGAACACAGCGTCACAGCCTTCCTGCACGCGAGGACCCTGCAGACTGCAGGTGGACTGCAGCATTTAAAGGCATCGCCTTCGAATCAGCGAACCTGCTTCTCATTTACAAATTCTGCCTTACAAATGTCACGTATAAATCCTGGCTTTCTCACTTACACACTCTGTGACCCCTGTGTAAATTGCATTATCTTGCTAAGCCCAAATTCCTTTCACCTATAATAGGGGACTAACGATACACAGGCCCAGGATTCTTGGGAGATTCTTGTGAATGATTCAGCGCAGTGTCTGGCCCAGGGGAAGCTCCCGGTAAATGCTGGTTGTCACAGAAGCACTAACGAAAGTCGTAGCACCAGTAGTATCAACAGCACTGACATCTCAAACATCGTATTTGGTGACGTCTTATGTGTCTGTTTTTCTAAAGAAGCAAAAGATACGGCAACCAATTATAAGGCAGATGAATGAGCATATGTTCTAGTTCATAGCCCTGTGAAAGTCAACCGCTGAAACAATACCGCAGAGAATGTCGGATATTGAGAAAGGCCAAAATTGTAAGGTTTTGAGCTATTTGGGAAAAAGCAAATGTGTTCTTCCATAGCTCTTTTTTTCTGTTTTCTGTGATCAGGCACTTCTAGCTGGTAGAGCAGTGAGCAATCAGCAACAGAGATGTGACCTCAGCGTGAGAACTTGGAGAGCGCGGCTTTGCTCCCCCGGTCAGTTGCGCACTCTGTCCTGCCTGAGTAGAAGCAAAGCAAGCTGTGGAACAGGTGACTCCTGGGATGAGAAAGGGAGGAGGGCTCCTCTGAACCCGGCTCCAGCACCACCTGACTGCTGACATCAGAATCACCAGACATTTCCTCAGTCGCTTGTGAACGTCACAGGTCACCCACTCAGTTTGTGTCCTGTGTGGCCACTGGGCTGCAGTCATTCTGATCCAATGTCACCTCCTAGCAAGTGGCAGGGAGACAGCCCACAAAGTAGATATTAAAGCTCCTGAAAGCTAGGGAGAGGGTAACATCCAAAGGTCTGAGATTTTGCCAATACCTTCCTAGGGTTTCCAGCCAGAGACCCAGCCATGGCTTCTACACAGCCACGCTGCAGAAACCACAGTCTGAATATGTGTTCAAAAACATAAGTTTTTCTGGATTCCAGATATTTGGGAAGATATTGTTTTAATCCATAGTTTTATCTGTAGTCACTGGTGCATGTAGGAGCTTGTTAGGAATTTCACAGTAAATATTTTTGATAAAAATCAGCACCAAATAAGAACCAGGTTTGGAAATGCTTTCAAGTTTATTTTTTCCATCCAAGGGTGTTTAGTTAAATATCTTCCCAGTGGGCTTTATGAGCAGAAGGCTCAGAGGAATCTATGCTAAACCATTCTGGGACTGAAATAAAATCATCCTCCTCTTGAGCCCTGAAGGATCTTGGCCATGGGTGCCTACGGGGACAGGGGAATCTGATTTCTTGGGCCTCCCAATACATGAGAGTAGAAAGCCATGGCCTCTGCTCCCTCCTGGTGAACCAAGTCCCTCCAGGAACAAAGAAGAGAGAAGACTCCTGAGCACCGAAGCAGCTTTTCAATTCTCTGCTCCTTTTTACACTCTCTGCTTCTGGCCCAGTAACTTCAGGATACTGTGAATACTCCTGCAAGGTGGGGTCACTTACTGAGCTGGTACCCTGGGATGAATCTACCTACCTCTCAAGCAGGTCATGGCATCCTATGCCAACCCCTAACTGAGATCACCCATTTATTTCAGACCTCAAATTTGAATGAGGTCTGCTATGTGCCAGGACCCACTGGAGACACAGAAATAAAAACCACTGCCCTTTATTTATGGAGCAGTAAAGAGTCAAATAAACAGTTAAGGTGGGGCTTGCAGGGGCTGGTGCCAAGGCTTCCTGGATGCTGTGTTGCCTGAGTTAACTCTGAAAGCAAGGAGCTGGGTTGGGAGGGTTGAGCTCTCTTCTCCTTCACAGTTGCCTAAGGAAGGCTGGTGCAGCTCCCTCCTGGGCAAGATGCTCCAGATCCCCCAAGTTCTCTCTCCCCTCGGCTCCCCGGCTAGAGGCTGAGTTCTGGCTTCTGCTTCTAATGAAGTGGCAAGACCACTGTAAGATCTGAGACTTGGCTTTGGAGGCTTTCTTATAGAGAAAGCAAACTTTTTGAACCTCTATGCCATTCAGATAAAATTTTGGTCTTCTCATGTGTTGACTGACAGTAACATCTGACATTACAACAAAGATCAGACAGCGAACAGTTGCCTAGAGCCCCAGTACGATACCAAGCTCAGCCCGCTTTTTACTACAGCACACTGACTCTCTGAATTGTGTGCTTTAGATTATTCTATCAGTTAAAAGAAAAGATGGCTTACTTGAAAAAACAATATTGCTATTATTTTTGGATTCAATCCTCTTTGCAAAAGTCAGTAAAAAATGTTATATTAGCTCATTTCTAGTGTTATATAATAGATTTGGAGAAGTGTTATCTGTTTATATAATCCATTAATATTTATAATTTAACATGACTGTCATAACTCTCTAAGGAAATAGAGTTATCCCTTTTCGTAGTTGAGGGAATTGTATTTATGGAAAGTTAAATAATCTGTCCAAACTATAGAGTCGGATAATGTAGTAGTTAAGGCTCAGTGTTGTATCTCAAGCACCAGAACTTATGCTCTTTCTATGTCACCATACTAACTCCTTGTCCCTCCGGGAGTCCTCCCTCCAGACAGGGACACTGCTTCAAATAATACAAACTCTAGAAGTACAAAGATAGCTGCTTATCGTTCCTTTAGTAGGCCCTTAAATCAAATGGAATCATTCATATCCATGTTGACTATTTGAAGAGCAACATAGCAAAAGACATTCCAAAAGAAATCATCAAAAAGTGTTTCAATATACAGTGATTAAGAATCAGATATTTATAGTCACAGATCAACAAAAATTCAATGAATGGCTGTATTCAATGTAAAGAAAACAAAACCAAAAGCTAGCAGCAAATTAAAAGGGGTTTGCTTATAAAGTGGCCGAATGATCTGCCCCCTATACTTTGTTGAATCTATGTTTAAGTCTTTAAAATCCTCTCTTTGCAGATGTAAAGTCTTGTTTATCGTACGACCCCGGTACCAAGATGTACATGTGAAAGCCGCATCTCCCTCCTCCACCGCCGCCCCCAGCAGCGCACCTGGCGTGTCGGATGGACGCGATCGCGTTGCTGAACTCGCTGTCGATGCTGCGGCAGTTGTAGAACTCCTCGTAGGCCGGCCTGGAAGAGCCCTGGTACTCGATGCGGCTGATGCGGCAAATCCCCACGATCAAGATGATGAGCATGAGGATAAAGGCCACGCAAAGGGCTCCGATGATGACGTAGAGGGAGTGGCGAGGCATGTTGGTAAGGCTCTCCGCCATGTGTCCGGACTTCCACTGCAGGTCTGAAGGTGAAAAGAAGCAAATGTCTGGGTGTGAGCTGTGCCCTTTAGAATGTGAAGGTCTTTCTCTTCCTTATATCAGTAACTTAAAACTTAAGGGCCACCCAATCTGGGAAGAATGACTATCTATGGATAATCCAGATCAGGGGTCAGTATCCTTAACACATGAGCAACTCGTACAGATCATTAAGAAAAAACCAGGAATACACCACAGAAAAAATGGGCAAAGAGTGTAAAGTGGAATTCATCAAGGAACACAAATAGGATATGGTTTTGCTTCATAATTATTCAAAAAATGCAATTCCTTTACCAGCTCCCAAATAGTATTTTAAAATTATAACTCTGAGTATCAGAATCAGCTATTCTTTACCTTGAAAACTTGCAATTGGAAGAAGAGCGCAGGTAGATGCCCAAACAAGGGGCCTGGCCTGCAGACCCGTCTCCTAGAAGCCTAACAGAACAACGGCCCATGAGCCTGGCCTGAGTGGTTCCTGAGAATTTGAGAAGAATGCATGACCGATGTGACTTCCAAGTTTGTGTCCAGATCCTCCTGGATGTTTTACCGTGACCTCTGCAGCCTGTTGTCATTCAAGTCTTCCTGCCTTAGCTCATAAGGCCTGTGGAGCTTAGTGAGACTAACTGACCATTAGCGCATTCACTGCTCCATCTGCGCCCACACACACAGAGGCCGACGGAGCACCGTAAATCATCGCAAGTAAATGGTTGCGATGGGAGGGAGAAGGTGCTTTGTGAAACCAGAACCAAGGCCCCATCCCCAAATCCGCAGCCATTTCACTTGGCAATACCTGGTGCACACTGAGAGAGACGATTCATTTTCCTGGCTGAAAAAGTAAGCGTGATTTACTTGATTTCCAAGTATGATAACATTCTCTAAAAAATTCAGTCGCAGGCTGGAATCCAACGCTCAGCAGAGAATGTTATAACATCCCTTTAGCATCAACACAGGGCAGCCAGTACTACGTTTCTGCTCCAACTCGGTAGAGTGCTCAGATCTGATCGCTACGGAGGGTCGCGTGAGTGCTTGCTGAGTTCTTGAGGGCTGTGCACAAACTTCGCAGAAATAACTTACACGTCATACCGATTGCATGTATGCAGTGAGTGCACTGCCACCTGGCCACCACGGTAAAAAACCGCCGCACTGGGTTATGTGCTCATTGCCGTGTCCCAGGCAGCCTGCTTGCATTTCTGACCATCTGCTCCATTTCCCAAAACTCTGTGTTCCAGGCTATTTGGATTGGGGGGGAAACCTTTCTCAAAATTTCTCCTAAAACCTTTTCTTTCCTCCCCCTGTCCTTTTCTTTAAAGCTAAATTCCACCTACTGTCACCTAAAACTTTTCTGCTAGAAGTGACGGTGGCTCCTTTATAGGCTAATTGGCTTGGTAGCCAGGATGGATCTGAATAAACCCAACACTAGGTCTGAGAGGCAGCAAATTTATGTGCACCAGGTGGTTGCAACTGCCGTCTCCCAGTCCAGGCACTATCCTCATAAGTCATCGCTTTGCTGCATCCCGGGAGTCCCCTCACATGAATCATTTACTGTGTTGGCTATAGCATGGCATGGGGGAGAGTCATGAACCAGAAAGTGCCAGATGGGTTGATCTCATCAGCCTCTGCAGGTGCATGACCAGGAATGCGTGCACTCGAGCTGTTCGAGAAAAATGTCATATTGGTGGGTCCGAGGGATCATTTGCATTTTTATTTAAGCTAAATTTGTTTGAGGTTTTGTATTTTCCAAAGTGCCTTTGCATTTAACATTTCGGTTCACCCTTAACAATCACCTTGAGCTAGGTAGAGGTGCGAGACTTGGAGCGGCTGCTCAAAGTGGAACGGGCAGTCAGTGGCCAAGCTGAGAATAAAACCAGATGCACCAATGACTTCCACGATGCCAAAAATAGACTCTAGTTATTTACATATTTATTCTAAAATGCATTGCTCATATCTAGTTTTTAATTCACCTAGGTGAACATAGCTAGACTAATTTGCCCACCTATGTTATTTAAAAAGAGAGTGAAAGTCACGGTGTGACAGTCTTGTGAAGATGTCACCTAGATAGCTCAGTAAGTTTTGAGCCACCTGCTGCCCGGAGCAAGGAGGGATTTCAAATGACTTTGTGTTTTCTATCGCTCAGGTGAACAGGACAATCCAAGCAGTTAATGAGATTGAAAAAAATCTGACAACGCTTGTTAATCTTCAGAAGAGGAATGAATGGGAAAAGGGAATGAAAGGAAGAGATCATCTCCTTCATAGGGATGCATTCACTGAGCATGTGCATTGAGCACCTACTGTTTAGCACCGCCAGGCACACTGCCTAGTGCCAGGGAAACAGAGTGAGGGAAACAGAGAGAAAAGTGGGCTCAGGGCACTCTGGGTCTTTTGAGGGATACAGGGATCAAACAAATGACCACAAAATAAATGTACAACTGTGGACGAGCTCTGCAGTGCTGCAGGAACGGACAGGGTATGTCCCATCTAACGGAGCACTGAGGGAGCTTCCACAACAGGAGTCCCAGGGGCTGGGCTCTAGGAGTGAGTGGGCACCAACCAGGGACCAGGAGGAGCAGAGGGAAGACTGTTCCAGGCACAGGACCAGAATAAGCACAGTCCTGCGGGAGGATGAGGAGAGCAGCAGGAGGGCTGGGAGGAGGACAGAGAGTGGCAGAGAGTGGCCCCGGCAGGGAGGACGTGCCGCCCTGCAGGATAGGGTGGCCACACAGGCCAAGGAGACAACAATGTGGCCTTGGGTCTTCAGTCATTTGGGCTTTAATAGGAGCTTGGCACAGGCAGGGTGGAAACAGAGAGGAGTCCAAGTGTTCCATTTGCACTTTGAAAAGATCCTCCTGGCTGCGTGTGAAGAAAGAATTTGAGGGGTAAGGAAAGAAGCCAGTTCAGAGGCTATTGCAGGATGGGGCAGAGTTGGCGGCGGCTTGGCCTGGGGTGGTGGTGGGGAGACAGAGAGGGGGATGGGATGCGAGTGCTGTGTTAGAGGGGGAATCAATGGGACTAAATACAGCAATGAGGGGAGAGAAAGGTGGCCCCCGACTCTCAATTTCCTGGCTTGTGTCGCTGGATGGATGGTTTGAGTGGAAGGTCCTGGAGTTTGGTTTTGTACATGTTGAATTGGAGGTTCCTTTAAGACGCCCAAGTGGTGATGTCACATAGTTGCATTTGGATGTCTGGCTCATTATTTTGGTTAATAAGAGCTGGCGTGTACGGAGAGCTCAGTATGTGCTGGACTCTATTCTATGTGTTTTAGGTGTTAACTCACATATTCCTCCTATAATGCTATGAGGTAGAAACTGTTACCATCTCCATTTTATTGATGTATAGGAGTCAGCTGAGACTCTGGGAGGGCAGTTCCTTGCCCAGGGTGACACACATAACGAGTGGTGGCTCCTGGGTTTAAACCCAGGTTCTCTGGTGCTAAAGCCACACACTTCAATTAGTAAGCAATGTTTTTCAAATTCAGACCGTGGAAATCAATGCACTGGGGCCAGCCTCCCATTAAAAAGCAATTTAGAAAACTGCATCAGAGTGTCTCACATTTGTAAATGTATTACTTTATGTTTCGTGTGTGTGTGTGTGTGTATGTTAGTCTGTGTTACATGCAACATCAGGATGTAAACATATTTCTTATATGTCAGTCAGTCACAAGGCCTGAAGACCATTTCCCTGTGCTATACATCCTTCGGTACTCTTCAGGCAGGGAAGGTGGAAATAGATAGATATCATGGGATATCTACATGCACTTTAGAATGAAATGTCAAGGTCTAATTATATCAATAACAACTACTATATAAATAATGCCTGTTACCCCAAAATATTCTGTATTTATAAAAAATTAACTCAAAAGCATCTAATTTATCAATATTCCATCAGGTACAGAGAAATGACATTTCGAGCAGGCACCCAGAGTCTCCTAGTTGTTCAAAGAGGATGCTAGCTAATAATAAGGCAACCATTTATGCAGCACCTACTATTTACCAAGTGCCGGTATGTGCTTGCAGGCAGGCAGAGAGTATTTCTCACCCATCTTTAACTTTATTATCCCATTTATCAAGGCGTGAGGCTCAGAGACCTTGTTTTCTGGCCCAGGAGTAAGTTCCTGAGTTGGAATTCAAAACCAGCTCAACTTGCAGAATTGAGTTCTCAACCACAGAACTCCGCAATAGTGTTCTTTCCACTCAGTCAAGCTCTTTCCCCACATCTGGTCACCACTGCTGCCCAAGAAGGAAGGAGATGCATTCCTGTTGTTCAAAGTATTTAACAAAGTAACTATGGATTAAATGGGATTTGCAAGTCACCCTTGGGTCCCACACCATTGCTTCCTGGTAGCCCTCCAACGCCGTGTAGCTATGTGGGCCACAGTTCCCTCTGTACATCTGCACTTTCTTGTTTAGATCTGCCAACCAGACCTGTGCCACCCAGGCATCCTCCACTTGGTTTCTGGCCACTTCAAAGGATCACAGGTGTGTAGGATTAGAAGGACACCTCAGAGGCCGTGGGTCCCATGACTCATCCAGAACTGGAGGCCTCATCTAGCTGTCCTTTGAAGCCAATCTTGGGCCTTTCTGTTATTCCATCCTTGTACATCTTTTGCCCATATTGTCATCACCAGAAGAAAGTAAACTTCAGTTTCTTTTTTTATAATTATAGGATTTTTAACTGTAAAACTTCTTGATGATATCCTATGCATTCCTGACTTTTCTTCTTATCTATTTATCCTATAGATTTATCTTCATGAAAGTCTGACTTTAAAAGGTATAAATAGATATTATTCTGCCCTAAGGTACTAAATTTGTCATGTCATAGAATTACCACATTTTAGAATTGAAAATGGTCCCATTTTGTGGATAAGTAAACTGAGGCTTAGCACAACTAACTGCAGTCATACAATGAGTGCGTTGGCCTGGGCAGGAACCAAGGTCCTGTTACCCCAAGTCCAGGATCCTTTCCACCAACAGATTCCTCCTGACTGGACTTA